TATCTCTGTCTTATTTTCTCTCTAGTTGTCTAGATGTTTTTAACAGCCACTTTTGAGCAAAGACAATTGGCTGAGATAGCTATAGAATTATATCAGTTATAAATTGCCCCAGGCACTGGTGACCTCCTCTTATTCAGAGAACTCAGGAATCTGAACTTCCAATTTTGAATGTTTCTTTCATTGCTATGGGAAATCCACCTTTCAACCACTGACTTTCTCTGTGATACATTGCTTTTAGTGGCAGATAAGCATCAGGAACCTCTGATTGAATACATGCTTTGGGGGGCTATATAAATATGTTCATCAGTCTGATTGCTTCATAACAAGGAAACATTTATAATTCTGAATATTTAATAGGATAAACGTTAGGGGAAGCAAAGGGAAATTCACCATTTCATATTGAGAAAAATGAATTTTAAAAAATCCAATGGGGGTGGGGGAACAAATGACCAGTTCATTGAAGTGTTTGAGTGATTAATTCTTAAAAACCTGAATTTGAATCTCTGTGTCTTCAACCATGTGGTTCCTAAAGCTGGGTTGTCACATCTTTTTTCTTGTCTTGCTTCTCATCTTTAACATCTCCATGCAGGTACATCAGGGCATTCTGCATGCTGGAAATGCTGGATTTATTGAACTTGTTTGGTGGAAAGGGATGAAATAGTTACTACTGCAGAATTTGCCAAAACTCAGTGGTGTCACTAGGGGTGTGCAGGGTATGTGGACTGCCGCAGATTACACCCTAAATGGGGGTGACACCACTGCTGCTCCAACACCTGTATTTTGGCAGAAACAGTGTGGCATTTGCCTGTATCTCTTTCAAATGCTTTACGAGATGGTAGGAGTGAAGTGAAGCTTAGTGGAAGAAGAAAGGAGGGCCCCTAGAATTTTTTAAAATTAAAATTTCAATTATTTTTTTTTAAAAATATTCTTTTTAAATGTTTTTTTAAAAAACATTGAATTTTACCCAAATCTTCACTATGTATATCTAAATACATTTAGGTTAAGTAAATAATATTGTAATTTGAAGGTATAATTTTAATCTTGCTAGTTGTTTAATCTTGCTAGTTGTTACAACTATTAGCATTACATTCAGTGGTATATGGGAATTGTAACTGACAATTAACATTAGTGCAAAAAAGTATGATTCTGTATGGTGTGAAATGGGAGGAGGTCAATGGGGCAGGCGACACTATAAGTTCCTGCACTGGGTGACACCAACCCTAGGAATGCCACTGCCAAAGCTTACTAATATCTTCATATTTGGGATAGAAAGAACTTTTGGAAGAAAGATAATTTCCACAGATTGGGTCAGAATCCTGGTAAGGCTAGGTTGGCAGAAGCTGGGACTAGTGACAGGAGCTCACCCCTTCATGCAGCACCCGGGCCTTGAACTGCCAACCTGCCAATCTTGCAATCAACAGAGTCAGCATCTTAACCACTTGAGCCACTGCATCCTTCAGAATTCTGGAGTTCACACTAAAATGCAGAACAGATTCAACACTCCACTGCAGCTGGTTGATTCCATTTTTCTAGTAGTTTTAGCCCTCAAATGAACTCCTATGACTTTCAAATTAGTGCAAAACATATCAGAGAAATATAGAATACAACAGTACAAATGGATTGATAGTGTGAGAAACCTGATGAAAGATACAATTTACCCCGGAATTACTCTTGAATGTTTGATTATGGGGATACTCAATACTTGACTTTAAAAAAAATGCCTTTTCTACACAGAGGCCCAAATCCATTTTTTAATCTTGACTAGAGTAGATCCATTGAATTAATGGGAACCTGGTAACCCAACATTTTTGCATGTGCCAGTTTCCATGGCTCTTCTCTAGTCAGGAGACTAGAGACACCGAAATCACCTGCTCTGCTGGGAAAATGAGGTTTTGTCCTTTCAGCTTTCCTGTATAGAACATTCCTGGAAATGATCCTGCATTAAGAACCAATTGTCTAGACTTTTTTGGTTCCCATGTCAAAACAGTTGCATTGTTTGGAAAGCCAAATTATTGACTTAGGGCAACCAATACTGAGAGCCTTATTTGGAGACATAACATTTTAAAAAAAATATATCTCAGCACCAGCAGTGTGCAAAATGGCAGATCTTCCACTTTATGGCATCTTAATGCTCAACACCATTGATTGACAAGTCTAAGAGAAATGCATCCATTTCTTTCTCTTCATTTAACTCTAGGAGGCCCTGGGGAATAGAACGGACTAAATCAATTGAATGGGCATCCATGTGTTGCTGGTCTGTTGTTCTCATCATTTGGGGAGTTCTTTTTGGATCTTGGATGTGTAAGCAACATGAGTCATGCCCAACACTGGGGGAAGCCTAACCCATGCTTCATTCCCAGGATCCACATGTAGCCAAGGTCCACATGGAGCTTTCACATGTGAGATCTCATGTCTGTTATCTCAGTTGTTCCCAGCAAGTCATCTGGGAAACTGGAGCCCTCTAATGTCTTCTTAACCAAAGTAAAGCCAAGGGTAGGCATAATGCAATCCATGGCATGCATGCAACCTCTGGGGCCCACTTGAAGCCTCGCCAATCCCCCCGCAAGTCAAGTCCCCAAGTCTCATTTCAAGAAAATTAGCATAATTTTTTGGGCCACAAAATCACTTCCTGTAATCATTTTCATAGAGCCTGCAAAGGAAAACAGGTTTTTTTTGCCTTGATAGGGGAGGGGGGTATAGTTTTGTTATTCGTTTTTGTCAACATAAGTTGAAAATGACTTGAAGGTACACAACAACATTCTGTGAGGGCTTGGTTAGTGGTGGTAAATCAGACCTTCACTCTCAGACAATTGCTCACCTCTTCTTTAGAACTAATAGCCAATACAGTTGTGGCCTTTTTCATTCCAACATTCATTCATTCATTCCAGGGAGGTCTGTGTATTTCACTGCCAAGAGTCACACTTATTGTTTTCACCACTGGGCTTATAAGTTATCCTCTTCCTCCATATTTCAATGGTGTGCCAATGTCATGGTTCAGACAATATTGCCTCTCAGGAAAGGTGTGTGCTTTTCTAATATCTTCCTAAATGCTTCTGTTAATAATTGTTGTCCTTGCATTTTTATTGGAAACCTCTGCTGTTCCTATACTTGAGATTCTGATGTTGTTTGTGACTTTTATTATTCCATTTTAAAATGTTTCTTCCTTCCATGAACTACCTTGAAGTGGCTTGCCTCATACAGAAAATAAGATATTAATCATTTCACAAATGAAAATAAAGCCCTTGTAATGTAAAAGGAATATATTTTTCTTCCTTTATAAACAATCTATACTCTTTTTTTTTTTTTGCTATTTTGATGATATTATGAAGAGGTAAAAAAGAAAGAAGATTGGTTTGTGAGTAACATATATAGAGAATTCTACATTTATTTATTTTTTTTAAAAAAGTATCACCAAATCTCTGGTTCCAAATATAGCTGTGTCCCAAGTGGATTAATTATCCTGATATTACTCATGTTGAATTCTGCACTGGGCTTTGGTTAGCACAGCCAAGCAGAGATGAAGGATTCCCAGGAGCTTCCTTTGCACTTTGTGAGAAATATTCCTGTGGCAAAATCTGATTTATTTATAGCATCTTCAGTCCATAGTGGAGCGAGAGCAGAGCAAACTCCTAAGGTATTAGTGGTGAGATAACATCTTCATTTCAATAACCATGAGAATACAAAGAGTGAAGATACACTTCAGTGTCAATAGTGCATAGCTTTTCTGAGAAGATGTATAGCTGAGATTGCCCTGAGCTCCCAACAGAGAGCTTTCTTTGCTAAGAAAACTAGGGTATTCCAGACCCAGAAGGAGAACAAAGTTCAACATTATTAGATGTCACATAGGGAAAGACAGGGCTTACTTTCCCCATCAACATTTAATGGTTTCAGCCTTTTGCAATGGCATTCACTTTCATTAGCATCTACTGAGACCAGATGAAGCTGATTTGAAGTCATGTAAATTGGCTCAACAGATTTGGTATTTTGAAAAATGTTACCACCTGCTTAACAAAAAACCTCTATGATTCTATGTTGACGTTATGGTTCAGACCAGAATGTCCCTCAGGAAAGGTGTGTGCTTTGCTAAGATTTCTCCTTTATCCATGTATCAAAAAATAAAAATAAAAATGAGATAATGTTGACATATGAAAATCACAAAGTGGTTAGAAAAAAGTGCATTATCAAATGTCAGTTTTATGGATTTTAGTGTGATTGATCATGTGAAACCAAAGAATTTTATACCTACCAACTTTTCACAGATGAAAACTGAGACATGTGTAGCCAGGCAACTTCAGAGTATGGGCAAGGTAGCAAAAGTTATTAAGGAGAAACTCACACAAGGTTGAGGAGGCTGCAGAAGTTTGCTTTACCTGAGCCTCCTGGGAAGGGCAAGATTAAATTTCTTCCTCATCTCGCCTCCTTGCTGAGTTTCTCACTTTGAACTGAGAACTTTGAACTCAGTTCACAGGATTTGAAGTAAGCCAAAGACACAGGGAGAAAGTGGGAGAAGGAGAGAGAAACTGGAACAATTTAAACATGGCTGAAAAAGTAGAACAGAAGATCATTGGGATTGTCCCTTCCAAATCGGGACAGTTGGAGGGTATGGTATGTTAAAGGATTTTTAAAAATGCAGTAGTGTTAGTTTTACAGACCCAGCATGGGATAATAGTTTGGATGCTGGAATAGGACAGCAGGAGAACCTGTTTTGAATCCCTGCTTAGCCATGTCAAAAGTCTGTTGATCCCACTTCAGATTTTAGCCTGGATTCTGAGGCTGCTTCTACACTGTATAAATAATCAAGTTTGACACCACTTTAAGTGCTATAGCTCCATCCTATGCTATCCTGGGAACTGTAGTTTTACAAAGTCTTTAGGCTTCTCTGCCAAAGAGCAGTTGTGCCTCACAAAACTACAAATCCCAGGATTATGTAGGGTGGAGCCATGGCAGTTAAAGTGGTGTCAAACTGCATTATTTCTACAGTTTGGTAGGTGCACCCTAGAGCCAGAGTGGCAGAGTGGTTTGAATGTTGGACTATGACTCTGGAACTAGGGTTCGATTCCCAACTCATTCATGAAACCCAGAGTGACCACTGGGCAAGTCACTCTCTCAGCCTCAGGGAAAGACAATGACAAACCTCCTCTAAAAACATGCCAAGAAAACCCCATGATAGCCTTAGGCAAGCCTTAGGGTTGCGATAAGTCAGAAATGATTTGAAGGCACACAATAATAACAACAAAGATGCTCCCTAAAGGAGATCTCCAGTATGTTGAACCTATTTGGCCAATAGGGCTTAGCATCTTAAAATTCACAGTAAAAGCTAGAACAAATCCACCATTTCCACTGACACAGCTTACATCACACTATTTAGTGTTGTCTTACATCTAATGTCTTTTTAAAATAATAATAATAATAATATAATAATAATAATAATAAATTAAACTAAAGCATGTTTTATTGTAAAACTAGTGATTTATTTAAAGCAAAAATAAAACTATGAACGATATAAGGTTGTTAATTATTACTGGCTATTTTATTTAAAGCAAAAATGTAAGATTGTTATCAAGTGTTCATTCCTCCCCAGCATGTTCTTATCCTTCTTGGCAGATTGTCAGTATATAAAACCCAACACTGTTGTCTTGTAATATATAATAAGAAAGGGGGGAAATGAAGTAGAGTTATACTGCCACCCAGAGCACTGATGCTCATTAGGGAAAAAGAATGAAATTCTGTCTCTGCAATGTACATTTCCTTTATCCCTTTCCCATGGATGCCTAAATGCTGAACTGAGGTTTTAAGTTATTGCAATGCTAGAAACTTGGGGAATGAAGGAAAATTTCATTGTTTCATTCAAATTTCATTTTTTTCTTTCAAATGTTGAAATTATTGGCAATTTTGTCTGCATGTATAAAAGACCAAATTATAGGGACTGTCCTCAAATCCTCTAAGTGAAACTTCAACTGTAGTATATTCCTTAATGTGGAGGGCTTGAATGGGGGCTGCTTATGATATGCGTGCTGAGCTGGTGACTTCTGTGTCAGTAGGGTGGTGAATTCACTCCAAGTTTCAGTGTTAACTTTAAAAAGGGTTGCTGAACTTATTGTGGGGACAGGGTCTAACAAATTGGAACACTTCTTTAAAGCTCAGACTGAAACCTAGGGTCCTGCTGAAATGTAAGCCACCAGCTGCCACTCCGAATCCAGCTGTAGAGTTCATACCATTCTACCATTTCAGACACTGTTGTGTAAGAAATTGCATTGCCTCTGTGTTTGCTTCCTCCAAACTTACTCCCACTGTCACAAGTTGATAAGTCCCAGTGTGTGTGTATGTGCCTCCATGTTGCCTGTCAATTTATAGTGGGCCCTTGAATTTCATAGGATTTTTTAAAGCAAGGAAAACTCAGGTCTTCCCTCTGAACTATAGCCTGCAACACCTGATATTCATTGGCAGTCTCTTATCCAATACTAAGCAAGGCTGGCCCTGCTTAGCTTCCAAGATCAGATAGGATTTTTAAGATACTTAGGTCCCTAGAACTTTAAACTTACTTTTTTGGATTACAGCTCTCCAGATCCCCTAGCCAGCATGGTCATTTGGGTTAGCAGTTAAAATGCCAAAAAGATTGAAGTGTGTCAAAGGGATATGAGCTTCATTTCAGTCTGTTATTCCAGACCAATTACTGGGATGAGAATACTTCAGTTTCAGATGTATGTCTTTTGCATCATGCCATGGTTGGTGGAGCTCAGTATTCTTAGTAACTCCCACCCCAGTAGATTATTCATTTATGATCTACTATGCCATGAGTTCTGTAGGAAGTTCCAACTAGAGTACACCTATTAGCTTGGAAAAGAGAAGGTAGAGAGGTCATGATAGCCATGTTTTAAGTATCTGTTGATGTCTTTTAGAAAGTGAAACAAGCTTGTTTCTGCTGAATCAGAAACTAATGAACCAATGGATGCAGTTCATAAGAAAAGAGATTCCACCTAAAGTTTAGGAAGAATTTACTCATAGTGAGAGCCAGTCAACAGTGGAATGGATTGTCTTGGAGAGTGCTAGACTCGTCTTTGGAGGATGTCAGAGGTTAAATGGGCATCTCTCAGGAGATGATTATCGCACACCTTCAGCTGTGTATTCTATGATTTGATCAACAGTCAAATGGCGAATTAACACTTATGTAGAATGCATTTTATTTTCTGTTTGTATTTCTGTATCCACCATGGACTAATGTGAGTTTTCTTAGCATCTGTATCTGTGTATGAATAAGGCAAATTGGGAGTTTGCAAATATCAACTATGGGGCTATACAGACGGGCAGGAAAAGGTGACTTGAAGTTGCCTTTTCCCTAAGCTGCAGCAACTGCATTACCTGCCCTGAGGTTACCCTAAATGGGGACAGAGCAATTGCCCTGGGCGGAGTCAATGCAGCTTTTCCGAGGCTGTATTGAAGCCCCAGCAACTGCATCACCAACCCCAAGGATGCCACAAAGGGAGACAGAGCAAACGCATGGGCCGGCAGTGGCTGCTTTAATTTTTTTTGTTCTCAAATGCATGTACATGTGCGCAGGAACATCTCTCCACACCTGCACATCTGTGCAGGAGAACATCGCTGTGCACACGCACAGGATCTGTCATAGGCTAGTATACAGTCTGTCACTGTTTGTGTACAAAGGTGACTAAAGGGTCTCTGCAGATGGGCCCTTTGCAGCGACCTCAAGGCAGGGATGGGGAGGGGCAGCTACTGCAACCCGTCCCTGAGGAAGTTCTGATGACATGTGCCGTTATGCATGATGCACAGCATCAGAATGTCCTCCCAGCACAGCGTCTTGACGTGCTGCGGCTAAAGGGGCTCAGAGGAGCCGCATGGCAGCTCTTGGGGCATTCTTTTTGCCAGCTCTGAAAGGAGCGGCATTTTGCCGCTCTTTTCCGTGCTAGCAAAAGGGAGGATTGGGGCTGAGGTGTGGGGCAGCCTTGCCCCCAATTCTCCGCTTCCCAGGGTGGCACAGGACCACCCGTCTCCATCCCCTTTAAAGTTCAGCATCCCTGTGCACTTGCACAGGACCTGTTATACGGTGGTATACAGTCTGTCACTGTGTACAAAGGTGACTGAAGTTCGGCATCCCTGTGTACCTGCACAGGACCTGTCATACACCCACATATCATGCAAGGATTCACTGACATCTGCTTCCCCCCAAGGAGTGGGTGCAGTAGACAGGTGCCACTGTCTGATTATGCCACCCTTGGGGTGAAGGAACAGGTCTGACAGCTGAAAAGACACCTACTCCATCGTCCTCCACAAAACATGTCCCACACAGATCAGGGGGGAGGGGAGAGGTACATGCAAGGGATGTTTGCGTGGACAGACTTGATACATGCAGCTGGTGGTCATGCAAGGGACATGGTCAACAGGACACACGGACAAACATTACTCCAGGAGCCCCCCCATCATGTCTTATGCACACCTGCACAGAAGAGGTCAGAAAAGCTTCTTTCACGCAAACTGCTGTGCATGCTGACAGCAAGCATACATTCAACAGAATGCATTTATTGTCATAGCAGAGGACAGCTGCTAGGGCGCATGTGTAGGGTTACAATTAGGTTTAGGGTTAGTGTTACAGTTAGGATTAGGGTTCTAATATTCAAGCGCAACTGCGCCAGTACATCCTCACAGGATAGGGTGCTTTAAATTAAAGCTTGCATTGTAGGGCACATGCTCTGGATTGGCAAGTCAATTTCTGCCACATGTGCAACAGTGCATTTATATGGCCGTTTACTGGTGCATCAGTGTCGCTGCATACATACACACATGCGAAGGTGCTCATCTTCACTGAAGGAGCAGAAAAAAGTGGCTCCTTTTTGGAGCGGCTTTTCTTGGCATATGGAGCGGCTTTTCGGCTAGAGGGTGCTTTCCTGGAGACTTTTGGGTGTGCGTCTTCTAAAGGCCATGCCTACAAGCCATTCTCAAAGCACCCCTTTTTACCTGTCTGCATAGCCTCTATGGTAGTTTCAGGTAGGGATAGAATGAATATTCAAAAATATTTGAAAAATGGTCAGAAACCATGTTTTTCTAATGTTAATAAACCTTGATGAGAAGAATTGTGGACTTACAAGAATCTTTGCAGTTGAGGAATTATTCTGTGAAAAATTCACACATAGTTGTTTTGGACGGAAAACAGCATTTTCTGTGCGGGCATTAATATTTGTGCAGCAAATTATGTTTTATACACAAAACAACCACATGAAGATTTTGCACAGATAAGTCCCAAATTGTGACTAGCAATCAAAAACTGTGTGGTTTTCAAAGACTTTATCACAATGGTAAGATTTCTGAAATTACTCATTGCTACCTTTGAGAACTTAATAGAGAATTACATCCCTAGTTTCAGGGCTGACTTTCAAAGCCACGTTGCCTCTGCTAGATTGCTTTTCTCCTACATTCTCATTATAGTTTGCTCATAGTGAAGCACCAAAGTTAGGTCACAGCTGTAAGTCATAAACCTGCCAGAAGTGCCAGTATGTTCAATAATAGAACCATGGTAGTAACCTAGAGTAACTAGGAATACTAGTGGGAAAATGTGTAGCATTATGGATAGACCAATTGAGATTGTTATTCAGAGATAACACCCAGTATTCCCAAAACTCATCAGACTGCTTCTAGAATCAACAGGCCTCTCCACCTGTTCTGTCTTTGGTCTTCTACTTTAATTTCCAGAACTTCTGACCTTTGGCCATCCTCGCTAGGAGCTGAAGTATAAACCATGCAGAAGACAAAAGACTACCAACCTTTACTCAAGAATTCTTTGCAAAAGTTTATGTAAACTTGGAGTAAATTCTACTTGCAAAAAGAACTTTAGACTGCTCTTGTAAAAGAGGGTTGTAAGTAACTTAGAGTTGTAAGTTCAGGGTTGTAAGTAGATTAGTTATCTGTCACTAATTAATTTTTGAGACTACATCAAAGTTACATTTTGAAATCAATGTTACAAGTAAGAGCAAAGCAATTTTATGATTAATGTATTCTACTTATTTCAAGAATTTCTTTTAAAGGACATTTTAGCAGCATTTTCACAGGATTTATTTCCTA